CAAAATCCCCCTTTTCAAAAACTGCTTGTCGATTACATAGGTTTCTCTCGGTGGGCTTTCTTTTTCGAGAGGGACCCCGATACGTAAAAAATCTGCCGCGAAAGAGAGTTAGTGACGAGAAGTGAGCAAAGGAGGCAATGTCTGCAAGCTGAACCCGCAGAGTGTGCTTGTTTGCCACGAGTTCAGTCGTTGGACAAAGCGCTCCAAAAACTTTTTGACCCTGGCTCGCGATGCCATATATCGATGCACTCAGGTTCTTTTTTTCTAAGTGTTTAGCTTGTACCTCGCCTGCCGGCCTGGCAAGCGCACACCGCTGGACTGTTTTTTTTTTTTTTTAGAGCGCAGCTTTTAGGGGCCCGTTTCCAGCCTGAGCGGCGTCGCCGTTGGCGTCGCCGTCGGCGTAACCGCGCCCCTCCCTCTCCTCCTCCTCCCCCTCCTCCTCCTCCCCTCCTCCCCCTCCTCCTCCTCCCCCCTCCTTCTCCTCCCCCTCCTTCTCCTCCTCCTCCCCTCATTGTGTAGTATGGTCCGGGCGGGTCACGTGACCTCGGGGGGAGGGGGTCACATGACCCGTTTCCAGCCTGTGCGGCGTCGGCGTTGGCGTCGGCGTCGGCGTCGCCCCTCCCCCTCCTCCTCCTCCCCCTCCGCTCCTCCTCCTCCCCCCTCCTCCCCCGCTTGTTGTAAACGGCTTTCACTTTTTTGTTGTATGCTAGGCAGTTGCATTTTGCATACAATTTTGGGATCCAGTAGGCGACAGAGCGGAGTGACATGATTTCGGTTTCGACCGAACAGCCATTGTCTCCGCTTGCACAACGAAGCACGCGCAACTGCAAGCCTGCCAATGTTGCCCTTACATGCATGCGAACATGGTTGCATGAAAGAGGCACTAGCCGGGACGCTTGCAATCCATTGTTTTACGTTTGCTTAATTTTGGCGAAATTTTGCTTTATATTTTCAGGTTGAAGGGGATCCGGTCCTGCTTCCTAAAGGCGATATCCTGGGACGACTACTGGAGGGACTGACTTATAGGTCAGCTGCCCTGCGGCACACCGAAGAAATCCGTCCTCTTGGTTGGTTCATGAACTGCATTTCCTCTTTCTCTTTCCCATTGTCTTTGCTACAGTTGGTTTTGGCTGTTTGTTGGTCATTCTTAAGAGACTTTATGAATCGATTCTCTCAGTATCCGACGAACATCAGTGGTGGCATGCCTCACACGGGATAGAAGCTGTGCTCAGTACAGACCATGCAGGATGTTTGGATCACAGCAGAAAAAAACCCAAGATAAATGTACACTCTTGTGTATATTTATCTGTGTAGAATTTTTGTGTACATTGAAACCCTAGATAAATGTACACCACTTAGATCGGTGGCTGTGATAAATTGACACAGCTGTGAGCAGTACGCTCAATGGATGGGGACTCCAACCTTAATATGTTTACATTCTGAATTGTGCATGCCTGACTCACAAAAGTTACAGAGCTGATAATAAAACGTACAGGTAGTAGGTTGTGAAGGCATGGCGATTGCGCCATATATATATTAGATTTGAGTGGAAGCACTAATATCCAATATGTCGTAACAGTTGACTGCAAAGGAGAGAAAAAAATGTCAAGCGAACCAGAAAAGCAACCAGAAATGTTCCTTAGTACAATATGTTTAAAGTGGCTGAGGCTTAAGTCTAGTTGAGCAATGTGCACTGTCATCCTGCCATAGGCAGATTTCTACAAAAAACCAGATTGCCAGGTGCAGGTGACTTTCCTGGCCCACAACTCTAAACTGAAAGTGCGCCTGGAGCACCATCACCAATTAAGTATGCCACTATATGCTTAATTGGTGTACAAGGTCTGTTTAAGAAGTATCCTACCTGAATTAGTACCGTGGAAACAAATGAAGCGCGGATAGCTTTATCTGGTGGGGAGGCAGAGGGAACGTTAATGTGCATGCAAGAATTTTATCAGACCCCCAAAAAATGTGAGTCGCAGGCAGTTAGCCTCGGAGTGATGACGTGTAGTTAGTGCTCGTCGTTAATGTTTTTTTTTGTTTGTTTTTTTGCAACATGACAAAATAGTTTGAGTGAGAGGTATTGCATCAAATTTTGATTCAAGCTTGCTCACACTCAAGTGGAAACAATTCGAAATATGCAGCAGGAGTTCGAGGACGATGCCATGGGCATTAAAAAAACATTAAGGTTTGGTACAACCAGATCAAAGATGACTGCATGTCAGTGGAGAGAGACGCGCTTTCAGGAAGGCCTTCAACAAGCCGAAATAATCTGGTGATTAACCAACTTCGTGCAATCGTGCCGAAGTTTCTCACGATGGAGCTGCATCATGACAATGCACCAGCTCATTCCTTGCGTCTGAGTTTTTTTGGCCAAAACAGGCTTCCTACTGTCTCAACATGGCTCCATGTGATTTCTGGCTCTTCCCTACGATGAAAATGCCGCTGAAAGGAACCCCTATTCGAGTTACGGAAAAAAACGACGAGCAGCGACTACAATTCCTCACTCGGAGGCTGACTGAAAACAACTCACATTTTCATCGGGCCTGATAAAATTCACACATACACATTAATGTTCCCTCCACTTCTCTAACCAGAAGATGCTGTCTGCACTTCATTTGTTTATGCAGAACAAATTTAGGTCTGATACTTTTTTAATGGCCCTCGTATGCTCGCATATTAGTACCAGGCTTATTCAACGTATTCTCTATGGCAGCAATGAGACTGGTCATAATTAGTCCTCCTGTGTTTTGTACATAAAACTGTTCCCTAGCATTTCATTTTTGCATTTCAACAACCAATTTCTTTCCTATCACCTTTATAGTGTGTAACGTGTCAATATTCCCTGTTTATTTGCATGTTTGCAGAGATATCAACCGCCCCCACCGCAGCTAAGGAGCCCCCTGTCCCCGGACTGCCCACACTTACGCGGCTGATTGCCACAACTGCTGCTCCCAGCTTCGATGCTTTTGTGGAGGATATAAGGGCCACCTTCTCTGCAGACGTCTGTGCGGTAATCGAGGAGAGGACGAGGGAACAGTCGCTATCTGAGGACTGGTTGCGCCAGAGGATAGGGATGGCAACAAGTACAGTCTGCCATTCCTTCAAAACAAGGGCAGCGAAGTGCGAGATAGAGCAAATGCCGCACAACATGGGGCCTTTGTTGAAGGCGGTCCTCCGCACGAGCACATACCAGTCTGCAGCAATGCAGCGCGGGATGAGCATGGAAGGCACTGCGCGGGACAAGTATGTCTCGGTTGTGAAGTCAAGGGACCACACATGCACTGTGGAAGACAGGGGCCTATTGATTTGGAACGAGTTTCCTGTGATGGGCTGTAGCGTGGATGGGCTCGTTACTTTCACCTGCGCATGCTGCAAGGGTGAAAAGCGTATTTTAGAAATCAAGTGCCTCAACACGGTGAAGAAAGCTTTCTCAAAGGACAAGCCGACGCCCCTGTTCTACACATAGGTTCAGGTCCAGATGGGGATAACAAATATTCCAGTGTGTGACGTTTTCGTCTACAAGAGTCCAGAGGACTGGAGGGCACTTACCGTGCCATTTGATGCTGCACATTTCCTTAAATGTTCGGCTGCAGTGCACACCCTGTACGACAAGTACATTTTTGACACGCTGAAGAATCTGGCATGTTCATACTCGTGGTAGTGGGCCCCAAAAAGGGCCAGTGTGGTAACATTAGATATGCATTTGAAGCCAGCAAATAAACAAAAGGATGGCAACAAGCAAGTGCTAATACATTCATTTATTACAGTATGCATGACATCAAATTTGCAAAATTAAATTGGCATAGAAACTTATCTTACAAGGCTGTTGAATGGCTTGTGTGTCTAAATGCACGAGCTAGAAATATTGACTCATTTTTGTGCTTTGACAACCTTTCTCCAATGTGGCGCAGGGGAAGAGTACCTTGAACGAAGTTAACAAGGAAATTCTTGGCTAGTGACAGTCTGTGACCGAACAATACTTTTTTCTTCCTACCCTGCTAAAGAGAACTCATTCTTCACAAATGACAGTGGGATGCCATGGTTGAACTGCCCATTAAGTGATCTACAGATTAACGGCAACGTTTAAACAGGCAGCTAAAAGAAAACGCTATCGTGTCCTGTTCAGCAATGTATTAACCTGTTAAAAATTTGTCGTTGCTGAACAAGGGCTTTGAGAGGTTCACGAGACCTGCAATGATGACGACAACGTCATCGATTTGCGGAAGGAGGCCTGCGCTGAAATTGTCCCGAAGAATTCGAAACAACTTCATTCGCTGAATTGCACGCTCGACATGAACGCGTGCGGCTGCGATGCTTTGGTTGTTTGCGGAGTCAGATTTTCTCAGCTGTGTGTTTTTAGGGAGAAATGGTGGACGAACCAACTTTACCTTGTGTTCGCAACACAGCTCGTCAATTAAGAACCCTTTGTCGACCATTACGCTGTCGATGAAGGGCAGGCATTTCTCTAGAAGCCCACTCTCCTTTGTGATATGCGTGTCGTTGGATCTGCCGCAGTATGCCGGACTCACATAGCTAATTAAGCCACCTGGCGTCTCGCACACAAGCACCTTTGCAGTGTGGGTTCCCTTGTAGTGACTGTAGGTAAGTAGTTGAGACTCCAGGTTTTTCGGCTTTTGCAGAGGAATCTCTGTACAGTCGAGCACCATGCGACAGTCCCTGTACTTGTTAAAGTACTTGGTCAGGGACTGGAGCACAGCCTCCTTTTCAGGCCAGAAAACGGCGTGCCTGAGCACTGCTGCTAGGACCGGTACCGACGCTCTAAATATGTTGGAAACTGTCGTCCTATGGACCCCAAACAGTACCCCAAGAAGGGAAAACGTCAGATTGTGGTACAGCTTCATCATTGTTAGCAGTACTGCGTCCTCGTTACTGATGCTGAAATCCTTCCTCTGGCTCAATAAGCGAGATTCCCCATACAGGTCGCAGATGTTATAGAATAGCTGAAAACAGGGTATGTAGGTCAGTGATACAAGGGCCGGTTCATTCTTAACCCGTGCTATCCCGAGCACTTGATCTTTCTCAAGCTGTAGTGTGTCCGCTTGACTTCCGACATCTTTCTTCAAGGTGTGAAGTTCAGCCTGAAGACCTGAAACATTAAAAAACAACTCTGGTATCAACTAGAATTAGGCTGACATGACTCACACTGGGCATGCAATGTTTGCTTTCTCCTCACCAATGGGATCTGCAGCATCGGCAGCCTGGTTGGGTAGTTCCTGCTCAATCAAACCCTCACTGGTGCTGGCTTCTTCAGAGTTCAGCCCTGCCAATGTAACTGCTGCTGGCAGGTCATCCTTGGCTGTTAAATCCAAGTAAAAAAAAAAAAACAAAAAAACAAACAAACCTAAAATTACAGCTCAGCACTGGAACTGAAATAGACACGACCATGTTTTATCTTCTGATGACTGCAAAAAAAAAAAGTAAACAGGTATGCAGGAGCCAAATATTTAGAATCTGGTTATTTATCACACAGCATCCACTGATACCACGAATGTTCCCTACAAACGAGAGCACTCACGGCGAGGCTTGCATGTGTTCACACCTGCCCGCGGCTTCAGGGGCTGTCGCAGCTTCGGGGGCTTGTTCAGTGGCCGTAAAGGCAGATTCTGGGACGGCACGGTTCCTGGGGCGAGTGTCCTTTTTTTCCAGCCTGACGAGAAAAAAAGGAAGAAAATCAATCACGACGGAGCGTGAGCATGCGTCGATCTCGGCCGTCTGATCGCCAGCTTTGCTCAGTTCGCTCGCGCGACTTTGGGGCGTCGTGGCCCAGGAAAACTAACGAGTGTTAAGCACTTAGATACATGCATGCGTGATGTCACTCTCTGCGAAAACTTTTCGTGTTTGCAGCTTACGTGCAAAATGCAAGAGCGTCGATCTCTGACGGGTACCAACAAAATCCCCCCCTTTTTGTGGAGGTTCACTGAGATAACTGGAGAACACTTACCAAACATCTTCGCTCCAACCGCATACACGAAGTCTTCATCTCTAAAGTGCTTACTGCACACTGTCGAGCTCTTGGAGTTTAATTTGCCCATTCTCAACTTCACAAGCCACTCCGTGCGCAGCTGCTTCTCCTTGGGGTAGATGTGAAAGCTGATGTTCGCGTCGGTCGCGTAACTGCGGCATTGCGGCACCGAACAGTACTTCACCATTGCTTCCTCAGCACGACGGCTGCCGAAGCCGATCCACGCGTGAACTAATCGGGCTCCAAACACAGAAAAAAACACGAAAATAACGACCGAACGGTTCCCCAATACCCCGACCAAAGCAAGGCAGAATAACCGTCCTTATCACGTGATCCCCTATCCTACGTCACCGTCGAGCGATCGCAGCGCTCCAATCGGTCCCGCTCGGGGCCAATAGTCGGTTACAAGTCAAGAAGGTAGGAGAAGCTCCTCCCAAAAGCGTGATACGCCCGTTTCAAATCTCTCCGCAGTCGAAAGAAGAGTTCACTGGAAACGCTCCTTGTTCCGCTTCCATAGATTCCAACTTGTTTCCGATCCCACTTTCTAAGAAAGCGATCTTTGTATTCATTGCAGGGGGAACCGAGCCCCTCAAAGCAGCCTTAGTATCCATGGAAGGGGGAAGCTAATCCCGAAAGTCGTATTTGTTTTCATCGGAGGGGCAAAACTCTAATCTCCCTCTCGTGGCTTCCACATAGCTAAGTCAAAGTCGAAAGATAAAGCAAATATGTACAAAAGGCAAGACCCTCCTCGCGCGTTGGCCGCGACGTCACGGAAACGATGGGACGCTATTGGATAGGGAGGTGGCGGAGGGATATATAATTCCCTTTGAGGGGCATTTGCCGCTACCTTCTTAACCTGTAACCGACTATAGTCGTTCCATTGAGAGCCCGGCGTTCTGGCGTCCCCCCGCGCACCCCATCTCCTCCTCTCTCTATGTTTCTACCCGACAATTTTCTCTCGCTTTCCTTCACTTCTATCAAAATGTTGAGTCGTCGCAATTATCAGGATCTGAGATTAAAAATAACAAAAAAGCACCAAACACGATGATAATAATAACAAAAAATGAGAATAGAAATTCTCGTGATCAAGTTTTGTAGATAAAATTGGAATAGAACGAGGTTAGAATTGGAAGAGTGAAAATGTGTTTTAATAGCACATTTTGCCTTTTTCTGATTTTACATTTCCTTTGTCCTTAAATATTTCTATCCTTTTATTCCTTGTCGCGTACCGTTCCTTAATCCTTTATTCTTCTTCAATTCCTTGTTTCAGACGATTCGAAACTGCGATCCGGATTTTCCTCTCTTGGTCGAGAACAATCTCGCAAAAAGCGTTCCGAAATAATGACTAGAGTGCATCAAGATCGATAAGACGAAACTAGAAATGGACTTCATCTTACTCGTTCTATGGTGCATCGTTCAAAACTCAATGATATTGCTGGATTCGCCGAGTGTCGTCGGCTGGAACGCTCTGTTCGCCAAGCACGCTTGACTTTGATTGTGGAACATTTGTTCGCCGGCAGCCGTTGGATGGACCGCTTGTTAGACGAGCGCTATTGGGCGAAACGCTCCATTCGCCGAACACCTTTTCCTCTTACTTTGGGAACACTTCTTCGCCGAGAGCCGTTAGGTGGAACGCTTGTTCGCCGAGTGTCTTTGGGCCGAATGCTCTCTTCGCCAAGCACCTTTGATTTTTACTGTGGAACATTTGTTTGCCGGACGCCGTTGGGTAGAACGCTTGTTCGCCGGGAGATATTAGGTGAGACGGCTTTTCACCGAGAGCTGTTCGGCGGAAGGTTGTACGCCAAGCGCCGTTCAGCGGTACGGTTTTTTTAGTGTCAACGTAAGGATATAACGTTCAGTCATTAAATCTCCGCTGCCTTTGTTATTCTTCTCTAATATGACCGTAATAATCTTTTGGTAAGCTTATTATGAAAACTTCAAGACATCATAGAAAATTTTAGTTGACCACATTCGTGTGCCCCCTCTACTCTACGGAGTGGCACAACCCCCACTGCGCATGTGCCGCAGCTCTGAGATTGGGCGTTGCCGGCGGCGGATGCGCAGTTGGGCGGGCTCGGAGCGGAGCAGAAACTTAAAACGATCTAGTAAATATCCGTAATAGTGCGCATAATTACGATGTGACCTGCACTTTTGTTACACTTCACACTCGGTGCTTAGGCGAAGCGAACTTAAGTTTTCTTCGGGGCTCTATTCTGGTGGCAGATTTTATATTCCTAAACTTTTAATAATCTACGGTGTGTCCCCGAAAAAAATTACAGGGTTTGTTCACCGCAAAACTAAACTGCGCGTCGCCGAACTCTCATTCTTAGCCCGAAGGTAGCGCTAAAGGTCCGAACCACGCGCCAAAGTTTCAGCGCGAACCGATATTTTATTCGAAAGTTCGAAAAGATTTCCTTAAAATGTCAATAGGAAAATAGTAGCCGACGGAGCTCTCGAATCCATGGTGCTCTACGGAGCCAGAAACCGAAAACGGGCGAAAGTGGGTCCCATTGTCTATTGAAATTTTCAGAAAATCACATAAAACGTTTGAAAAAAACATCCATTCGTGCTGAAACTTTGGCATCTGGTTTCGAGCTCTAGCGCTACCTTTCGCCAGATAATTAGCGCTCGGCCATGCATATTTTATTTTTGCTGGGAGAAATTTTTTTTTTCTTGGGGGAGGGGGAAGGGACCTCCTGTGTAACTTTATGTATTGAACGTGAAGAATCGCTTATAGTTTTTGAACAGCTGGATTTAATTCACGAAATAAGAAGACGGGAGTTTGATGACCTGGAAGGAAGTCAGAATAACTCGTAGCTAGAAATTCGTCACGCCCTTTTTTAATTGTGGGGTTGAGGAAGCGATAAAGCCACACGTAGCTGCGGAACGGTGGAATTCAAAACACCCTTCACCAAATCACTGCAATTCTCGTTCTGTTTTCCAAAGAAAAAAAAAAACTCAAGTAGTAGAACTTGTTCGTAAGTTTTTAACATTCTACCAACACAACTTATTGCTTTTCAAAGGGAACCCATTCACGACGCAAACTGACAAAACAATAAAGAAAAATGTTCTGAGAATGTGGCCCTGAGAGCGGCTAGGGTGGCAACTTTTAAGGGCGGGAACGCGTGCTCGAGTTCGCCGAAGTGACGTTCGGGTGACGAGCGGCAAGACGGTGCGCTTTCAAAGCAACTCACTGTGCGAGCAGCTGAGGAAACTTCCTCATGCGAAAGATCCCGGAAGCAAGCTTTGAAAACGTCGATACGAAAAAAAAAAATGAAATCGACGCCTAGAATTTGCGGCTGCCCTGCTTTAATCACTCTAAAGGCTGCTTCAGGTGTTTACGCTTCACTGCGACCAATTGCGTGGCATTAACTTGTGACTGCTCTCGACGCAAAAATACCCCCTGAAGCAGGGCGAGCACACATTAATAGTAATAAAAAAAAATTGAGAGTCATTTACACTTTCGTGTAAAACAAAATTACATGGCCGCTTTTGATGTATTTTGATTTTCCTCACATACTGGTTCTTTTAAAGAGGCGGTGCAGCGATATCGAACTGGAATGTTTTTTTTCACTTTACTCGAGCTTACTGGCACTAGTGGAACTCAAGTGTGCTCGCACAGAACGCCACTGACCAAGAAACTCCTTTGTTGCGGTGTAATCTCAAGAACAAAAGCGAGCGTTTTCCTTAAATCTCTCCTTTCCTTACCGAGACTTGATGACGTAGCTAGGAAATTGCAGTTACCCCCACATAATGACGATATTTCAGTGCCGCTCATCGATTAGACCCGAGCATCGCGTGTGCACTTGATTTGGGCTCGTGATAATCGATAGCTCGAAGATCATTCAGGCAGTGGCCAGGGTCCAACCGCTGCAATTACGACCATAGCCGAACCATAACAATGTCCGGAGCTCAGCGCGTGTCCTGTGCTTTGCCAACCCCAGCGCTCGGCTATGACCAACATTGCGGGAATATAATCGGTTCCAGATCACATGGCCACTTCTGGCTGCGAGTTGAGAAGGTGAACGTTGCTCGTTTTTCTTTAATTTTTTCTTTGACTTCGATGGCGTGTGGTGAAAAACGAACGGGTGTTTGACCTGTCATTACGTCAGAGATCCGTTCTAAGCGGTATTTGCGCAAAGTACAAAAATCGTTGCATCGCCCCTTTAAGTACCGGTCGTCTCCCAGTCCTCGATTGTTACGAAGGAAGGAATGCATGATAGGGAATTGGTAAGGGGTTGATCTGTCATGGGGGGGGGGGGGGGGGGGGGGGGGGGGGGGGGGGGTTGACGTAAATTTTCCCGCTCAATATTGCGGGGAAATGGAATGGCTTATAGGTCACGTGTCGTTAATTCCCCCCGCTTAATTTACCGCGGAAACTGAAGGTCACAAGTAAATTTCTCCGCTATGTTTAGCGGGTAACTCAATTGGTCCATGGATCACGTGAAGTCGATTTCCCGCTAAATATAGCGGGAAAACTGAATCGATGTTTAGGCCAAAAGACATGGAGTTTCCCGCTCATTATAGCGGGGAAACTGGGTTAATGCATCGGTCACGTGTCGTTAACTTCCCCGAGGTGTATTGACGCCACTTTCCCACCAAATGGA